ATAGGTTCCGGAGGGGCTCACAAAGCGAACAGATTTTTGTCGCGGCTGTTTTTTTCCGGGCTCTTTGAACGCCTGCTTTTTTTCGTCCTCGGGGATTCACAGGTAGGCCCTTGCATCTTCACATCCACGACTTGCAACCAAACCATGACCTCGCACATTCTGTAGAGCTATACCACAGAGACAGGCACGAGACAGGGGGCATTAACAAATAGTAGGGCAACGACAAGCGTGACCCAGTCCGTGATAACCTCCGAAGCGGACTCAGAGTTTGAAACCGCCTTTACAACCGCTGGTCCAATCCTATGGCATCTCGAGATCTTTGAGGAATTAGATTCAGATGACCGTGACAAGCCATGACCCGTGACAAAGTGATTCAATCAACCCAGGCTCTTCCGGAACTTCTCCCCGAGCTCGCAAGCGCGCGGGTGCAACTCGCACAGTTGCTTCAAAGGCTCCTGCTGGTGGTGTGCTAAGCTTGCAGCTTTCGAGATATAGTACTCATAGATTATGATGGTAATAACAGTTATAGTAATGATAATCATTTTAATCACAGTATCTGAGGACTTAAAATTCCTTTGCTCTGGATCAAGCCTCAGGCTGCCGGGGCTTGGCTCAGGCTCAGAGAACATATGGCGGACCACTTGGTCGGCGTGCAATGCGCTTTGGGGGGAGTCAATTTCCATTGGCCTTTTATTGTTTCGGGGGGCACTCATGGTCTCAGCAACGTGTGCAAGTCCGTATAACATCATTTACAAGCAGCCTACTCATCTGTAGGGTAAAGGCAGTTTGGCACTGCGCAAACAGGGCAAGGAATATGTTGAGGACAGGAATGCACCGGCCATCTTTGCTTATGCAGCGGCAGTGGCTGCTGCTACGCAGCACGCGAATCAATTGCATGCGGAATTCACGAGCTCCTGTGCAGGTCCATCAACCGGCTTGACGATGATCCTGCCGTTGCCATTCCAGGTGGCATCGACCGTCTGGATGTCCAAGTGGGAAAGCGGTGACAGGAGAGCGCACGTCATGGTTGGCGGCAGCTGCATGTCCAGCAGGTTCCACAAGTCGACTTCCACCTCCAACTGGGCATCGGCCGTGCCACAGGGCATCTCCGTGATCACGGAGCCGTTGCCCTTGAAGTTTCCGGCTTCTACGGCGCCGGTGACAGAGATGGTTGGGGACCAGGGCGCCTGCGGTGTCGGGCACTTGGCAACCGCACTCATGCCCAGCCAGCTCTTGTGTTCGTCGGAGGGGACCAAGACGCGAAGATTGCTAACCTGATCCAGTCCCGTCACAAGAAGCTGTCTCAGGCTGAACTGCGCATCCAGGGGCAAGGGGAGCTTTGGCATCTTGGAAAGGCCTTCATCCAAGACGCTGGTGTTGTGCGCAATGAGGCCATCGAAGAAGTTGTCGATCCACTTGCGAGCAAAGTTGTTGAAGATGGGCGGCCAGTTGCTGTAGTACTCCGGAACCGTCTGCCGCATATGCTGCGAGGCCATGGCAGGAGAGATGCACTGGGATGGCTTCAGCTGCTGTTGCAACTGGGCATTCAACTTTTCGATGACGGCCTCGGAGCCCGCGAAGCGCTGGATGGCGCCGGGCAGCAGGGGCTGATAGACCTTGTTGAAGAGGGCCACGCCGTTGTTGAGCAAAGCTGCCAGGGAGGCCTCCAAGGGCGTCTTGGTGCTTATGAGGTCCAAACGGCTTACAAGAAGCACGGGTAGGGTAAGTCAGTAGCGTTTCTGAGGAGCTCTAGCTTGATGATTGAAGTTGCTGGCAGGTTTGAGGCTCCACAGGCTTTGCAGAATAACAGGGTTTAAAGGTCTTCTGGGGTATGTAGCCAAAAGTGGCACGAAGGCCTCCAGGGCACCAACAGTTTTCGCCTGGAAGCTCAGTGGGGCAGCAAGGCCCGCGAACTGGACCTGCATCAGTCACTCAAGGGCTTCAGGCATCCCAAGCCACAGCAGGGGCAAACCTAAAAAGGGGCGATTGTTTTGACAGACTTGCTGCTGGACTTCATACTCTGCTTGTTTGGTGGCTCCACTACGGCGTCTGCCGTCGTGCCGCTCCACAACTCTGACGCAGAGGCAGTGGAAGTAGAAAGGCAAAAGAAGTTTAAACAATGAAACATAGCTACTCTGGTTCTTCAGTTTGCAGCATTATAACACTAGCCTGTTCATGAGTCTAATTACCTGGAAGTTTACGTCATCACCAATTGCCGAGGCTGTTGTTGCCCCGCCCCCATACTGCAGATCTTCAGGCGTCCTCCTATCCTGACTCTTTTTGCTTGCAGGGACCTTCATGAATTGGAACCATGCTGCACTCCCCCAAAGTAACATGGAAAGCCGAAAGAGGACCTAGTGTCCTGTTGGGAGGGGGGGCTACTTCCCTATACCAATCCGGGACTTTGACGGCAGTGGGGATGGTGACCCCTCATTACAGCAGCCATGGACTCTCCGTAATTAGTAGTGCGCCTCCCGTCTTGTAAGTTCCTAGAAAGGGCAAAGGCCGGCACCTGAAGGGTCTTGACGGAGGGCGCCTTCTTAAAGACGCTGGTAAGACACTCCTGGCACAAGTTGCGATGTTTAGGCGCTGACGGATTGGGATTGAGGAAACTAACAGCATGGACCTGGAGTTTTTGAGAACCCCATCATCTTTCGACTTGTCGCGCTATCAAGAAACCTCTTCCCGCATCATGGCTGGGCTTACCCTAGCACAGGATCTCACAGAAGAATAGCGGGCAGCTACAAAACGTGGGGCGCGTGGTTTGCGCTTTTATGTGGAGTTGCATATTTTTGTTGGGTCGGCCTCTTCTCACTAAGCAGCCCCGGGCCATTCACAGAACTTCCGAGCGAGCCAAAGGGACTCTTCATGATGTGAATGCAAGGATTCTCAGGTAGGTGCTTCATTTTTCGTTCATCTCAATGACACAGGCGCCCATTGGAGGACCATTCATCAGACGAAGGCTAGCTAAAGAGGGGTGGCATCCCCAACATATTCGCAGGCTTGTCGATTTTACTAGTATACGTTTACTTAGCGATACTGGGACTGCTCACAAAGACGCCTATTGCTTGAAGCACGCCACCACCGACCCAAACCTATACTCCTCATGAAGCTAATCGTAACTTGCCGGATGCTCAAGGAACAGCCACTCCTGTCCTGCTCAGAAATCCGCATACTGCCTCTGCTGGGATGAATGAATTTCCTATGGAGACCAGCTTCTAATCATCAACGTGCCTGTTCCTCACAACCTTCCGTAAGCCGTACGCCCCAAACTCCTTGGGCGCCACCAGGAACTGTGCAAGAGTATGCTGCCCTGGCCACTCGCTCTGCAGGATGAGCACCTCTCCTGTAGCAGGTTAGGGTGTGCAGCAAGCTGGGACTTCTATAACTTATAGTTAGTTTAGGCGGACATCGCATGCTCGTGGCGTCGCCGTTGTTCACCATCGCGCCGGCTGCGCCACAAGTGGCCCAAAGCCACAAATGAAACTGCATATTAAGCTGCTATCTCCCTGTCAGACGGACTTTGACGCACAGATGATGGCGACCCCAACGCAAACCATTGCTCCGGGCCATGAGAACGCCTACTCTTCAGTTGGGTTCGACGACATTCGTGTTCATGTGCCTGACTTGAAGTCACCACCTTTGAGAATGCTTTTGCATGGGCCCAGGCCAGTCAACTCCCAAGTCTTGCATGCGGCTCTCAACATGTCGTTTCTTTGGCTCCTTCCTGACTCAACCCCTCCCAGAGTTCAGTGCACCTGTCACATCCAGGGAAGGCGAGAGCAGGCCCAAGTGCAGGCTCATCTCCTGCCTGGGCTGTTCTTGGAGGTCAGCAGCAAGAGAAATCCATCAGGAGATAGGCTCATCAGGACGCATTTTAACCAGAAGAGTGTTTGAAATTGTGTTGCAGATCTAGTGCCTCATTCTTGGAATCAGAGTTAGTTCAGGCGAGGCCATATTTCTTGACCTTTCTTGGGTGCAGGTCACCAAAGCGCTCTCAACAGATCACGCTTTCTGATAAGAACAGATCCCTCCAACATGCACGTCAAGCAGATCCAAGATTGCACAATTGAAAACGCGGTGTTGGCGAGTGCTCCCTAACATGTAAATTACGAGCATCTGAGATTTCTACTCCACAACACCCCATGTCAGTCCACTGTCATCCCTACCTCCTGCACTCCCAACTCCAAACTTCTACTCCTCTACTGGTACGGGTTCCCCTGTTTCCTAGGGCACTATAAAATACGTACTCTGCTGAGAATGTCTTATTCCAGCGTTGTCAGGGCAAAAAGAATTGCTGGGCGCTGATCTGTCAGGTTGCTCGACCGAGGCCTGAGGCTGCTTCGTCTTCAAGTCAACGGCTTCCACCTCGATGGCTAGCTGAAATTATGGCATAAGGGGCGAGAAGAGGTTTGTGAGAATTTTTATGGAAATTCCAGGAGGGGCTGTTAGACCTCGTAACCTCATGAATCTACCCCTATATGAAGGTCCTGATAAGGCATTACAGGGTTTTATGGCGCATTCTGGTTTGAGATAGCTGCGTGATGTTGTATGGCGACGCTTATCTTCATTGCGTCGGGGTACTTACTTTGGGTGGAGCAGGCTCTGGGAAGCCTTGTGATACTCAGACTCTTCCGTGCCTGTGCGCGGTCCATCGCGTAAACGTCCCTCAAGGCAGCTTGAAAAGGCTAGGGTCCAAGCCAAAGGATTCAAACAACAGGGATAATGAATGATCTTGGCAAAGCCCCATATGCTCCCTCATTGAGCCTTTTGTCAGGCAGTGCAACATTCATTCAAAGGACATTGAGGGGGAGTGTTTTCAGCCTCCTCGAAGTATGCAGGGATGTGGGCCTGAAACAACCCTTCAGGACTGCCCCTCCTGACTAGGCAAACGTCTGAAGGTTTTCGGATGATAACAGCTTTGTGTGGACAGATGAGGCGCCTTCACACGGACATCCACGCCCAAGCCAAAAGCGGGGCGGTCTTTTGTGCCCCAGCTCACCTGGGGTGTCACGGTTGAAAGTGTCACGGTTCAAATCTTACTGATGCACATTGAACATGCACCACTGGGGCCCGGAATGATATCTGCCTACACCCCTAGATATTCTCTGTAGCCGCTCTAAAAGTAGAAACGAACCTGGGATGGGGCTTTTGACGTATTTTATGCTTTACTGGTACAAGGATTTTAGAGAATTCTACTGATTCAGGCCCGCATATTAAGAACTAAACCTGACCATCCGGCAGGTTCAAGGGGGCGCTGAACTTCAAGTATGACCTGATCCTGACCGGCTAGAATTCCTTCTCCCAGAAAGAAGGGTTCACAATGGTCGCAACTTAACTCAACCCCCTCTGTCCCTCGATCCTGGAAGCCAACTCGCCTTCATGCGGAGGTCACTGGGGTCAACTGCTTGCACCGGCGTAAAGGCGGACATGCCATCTGCTCCCTCCACCACTGCCTCCTCGCGGGACATGCATGGTGCTGGCCAAAAGCTCCCAAAGACGGGTTGCCTTGCGCGCCCCAAATTTTAGGACCCACACAACGCCATTGATTTCACGTGCAACCATCTTAGGCGCGTGACTGTGGCTTTTAAGCCTTATCATGTCCTTCAAGCCTTTTAGCGGAGTCATCGCCAAGCACCTCCGCGGGCCGTATTACTGCAGCCCCTGGAGGTGCTTGACGAGGTCCTCTGCATAGCTCAAGAGGTTGTTCTTAGGGATTTGTGGGTCCTTCAGGAATGCCTGGACCTTGAGCTCCAACCCAGCATCCGGCTGTTGGATGGTGCCTTGATTCACCCAAAGGTTCCCATGCAGGGTTCCGGGTTTAGGCTATGGGCAAATAGTGGGATTTGTTGAAAAATTCTGGGCTTGGCTGTAGCCGCGTTGATGGATCAAGCTACGTCGGGAGGGCATATGCCAGAAGACAAGGGGGTCATCTAGGGTCTGGGTTAGATGGAGTACATGGTGTAGAGAGATTGTGGCTTTGGTAAAGCAGCTGTCACAGAAAACAAGCTTCATCCCACGCATCAAAACAGGATACAAAACGCATTGTACGAGGCTTGAAGTAAAACAAGCACGTCACATGAATTCAATAACAAGCCCAGGTGCTCACCGCGACAGGGGTGAGAGGCCCTGGGATGGAAACTGACTGCGCGCCCTTCAGGGGGAGCGCTGCGTGATTACTGTCTGTTCCTGCATACATATGACTGCAAGACCCTCAACTTGGGCACCTCTCTTGTCAACGTGAGGCACCTGAGGCGCCTGAGCAAAACCGGGGCCTTTCCTTGGATTTCAGGTCCAGGCCCCTGTCGGGCCTAAGCAAAGGCTGGTTGCCCACACACGGTCTCGCACCATCCTATGAAAATCTGGTGGAAGGCATGGTGGCATGATAGCAATCTCCAATGACAAGATCCAGCCTCGAAGGCCCAACGAAGTGCCTGGTCCAGCTTCTCGGGGCCAACCACATCATCCAAGAGCCAGGACATCCAGCTCACCTGGGACTAAAGCTTTTTGAATGTAGGTTTTAACTCTTTATAGGGTTGAACGCGAGAAATGGAGTTTGGGCCTTGTGGGGTTTAGGGGGTATAGGTCTTATGTTTGCATGGGGTTGGTGCTGTTGGAGCTTCGGGAGAATTGCACACCAGCAGGCATATCTTTAAAGGTTTTCAGGTTCGCAGGAGTCTGGGTGAAAAGGAGGAACCAAGATCTGAGACCGTAGTGATGCTAGCTGTTTCACGCAAGGACTATCAGCGGTCTTCTTATCATGGCTCGTGCAAAAACGATGGAATATCCACCATGTTCGAAACGTACAGGGAGAATGATGCAGAGGAAACAACTCGACAGCTTGTCAGCAGACACGCCCCCACTGAAGGCGAAAGAGGGTAGGCATTCAGAATGATGCTGGAATCACCAGGGGCATTACAATCATGGCATGCGAGGATGGTTTTTAGAATGAAGGAGCGACAGGCGGTGCATTAGCAGGTCTCAAAACCAGGCAACTTGTCTATGATCCATGGATCAAGGCTGTTACCAGCCTCTATAGTAACTGTAGAAGGGTCCTAATTCTAGCGGGAGGTGCCGTCCCTCTAGACCTTTGAGCTCCAACGATCCCCAAAACAAGCTGGGGCTGATGGAACCTACCTCCCCAGGCCCAGAATGCCGAGCCACGGATGGGTCACGCGTCCAGTCCACAGTCTTGCCGGTGTCTTCGGCCAGCCTCAAGGCTCAATACGACTCTTCAGTAGCTGCTTTGAGCCTGTAATGTCGCACCCGCTTGACTAAAGCTACCCGCAATTGCGTCAAGTTGCGGGGAATTTTGTCAGGGTCATCAATTGTTTGGGGTACCCGCTATTGTGTCAAGTTTTGGGGGAGACCAAATTAAAATAAAAGGTTTGAACACATAAAGCATTTAGTTTTAACTGATGCTTATACGGATACTGATACTGACACTGAAACGCATATTAAAGTAATAGTACGAATATCCATACTAATACTTATACCATTAGGATTCAGCTCAGACCCTCAACAAAAAATTGGTTCAGGACGCCCTAAATTGTTTGGGGCGGAGCCCCCATCACTAAAGAGGGTGCCACAGTAACCTTGAATTCCACGCTAGAATCCTTGAAATACTGTAGCGGCGGCGGAGGCGGGCGGTGGCGGTTGTGTTCGTGGTGGAAGTGGTGTTCGTGGTGGCGGGTGGCGGTGGCAGTAGAATGTAAACAGGAAGCCTGCGCTCCGTTCCAAGTTTTCAAAATTAATTAACCCAACCGCAGGAGAGATCAGGGCTGCACCAAAAAAAGGATAGCAAAGCCACTCTTTGCAGAAGTGAACCTCGCGACTATAACAATTCTAGTCACAGTATCTTTTTTTAGCATAAAAACTCAACACATCCAAAATCGCGCGAGCCTGCGCTCGAAGCGGAGGTTTGCATGCGGCAGTGCTGGCTCCACAGGAGCTGCAGCCTCCTCGAGCATGTCATCCACTACACTCTCGAAGGTGACCTGGATCTTTGGTCTATGGAGTGATGCTGAGCTTGCTCAGGAATTGGATGGGGCTGCTGCGAGGAGTATGCCAGTTTGCCACAGGATCGGGAAGATGCAAAATTGCCCACTGAAATGCACGTTTCCCATGATGATTGTGCAGTAATATAGGGACCGCCCTTAAAAGATAGCACTCAAAGCAATGACCCCTTCAAGTATTCAGACTGACCAAGGGCAGGGGCCTGGAGGCCGTCGTCAGCCTTCTCAGCCAGCTCCACGGCACTGCTTTGAAGCAGGAGGTTTGTGAGGGTTGTGGAGCCTGGAGGCAGCCTCAGTTGGAGGACTCAGATTTTTCAGCTTGACTGTTGGGCTTACGGTTGACAAGGCTTAGCATCCTGTAGAAGAGCCTCTTAAAAAGGTTCGCTACATGAGGCTGCCTGAAAATCCTGCAAGAAGCACCCTCCATATAGTATGACAGGGCCGCTCCTTGAGAAACAGATGGCAAGGACCATAGAAACAGAGAAGGCAAGCCGAACCCACGGATTATGCTAAGACTCCTAGAGCAGGTGGAAGAAAACTTGCATTCCCAGAAACATCAGGAACTGCAAGGCAGACTTGCATCCTGAATCCGAATACTCTACACCCCAGAGTCCTTTTGAGCATGGGCTGCGGTCGGATGATCCACAATAAGAGCTGCGCAATGCACTGAGTCAAGACCAGAACCCGAACCTTACAACCCAGGAACATAAGGTGGTTGAACGCAGCCAGCTTCTTGGAAAGCGGACCGGCAGCCATCTCCTTCAGCTGAGCACCTGCAGATGTCCCTTCCGTTGGTGGTGCAGGCTGAGGGCTAATCCGTGGTTTCCAGTGCATATGTCGGTTCAGGAAGACTTTTTGAGTTATGTGTTTTCAGGTCCTCCCCTAGTCTCAGGTAGAACCCCTACCTCCAACCTCAAACTCCCAACTCTTCAACGACAAAACAAATCCTGAAAGCGATGCGAGGAACAAGCTTGGCTGATCGCCTGCTTCCGGATCAGCAGGGAGATCCTTATGATTGGTCTTCTGCTTTTGCCAGTTTTGCAATGGCTTGTCTGGTGATTGCTGTGGAAGGTTTTTGTGGTGATAAATACGCACTTCAGGGTTGGGGCTTCAGGGCCGTGTCATTTGACGGGCTTGGGGTTGGGTAGGCAAGGGGCAAATGGGGCTTTCCAAAATTAATCCTTCTGCACGCTGCACTGAAGAAGGATAAGCCCAGCCTGGATGCAGTCCTAAGGGAGAAGTAGAAGTAAGCCCTCCAAGCTCCTGCAAGGCCAGGGCCTCATCAACAACGAGACCTTGGCCTTCTTCATTGTGAGGCGAGGAGGGTGAATAATTTAAGGGTGTTGGCTGGCATGTGGCGCACAGAGGACGTATCAATTCCTGCGCAACATCGGCTTGGACAAGGATAGGTTTGGAAATTAAGTTGTTGAGAAGCATGAAGCCCGCCATAGTCTAAACTCCTAGTATCCCCCTTAATAACCCACATAGTACAGCAGTTCCTATAGAATCCCATATATGACCCCTTTTAAGGAGTTTAGATTTTGGCTCAAATGATCTCCAGCCCTTTGGGGGAGGGATTAGAGGGCTTAGGATTCGGCGCTCCTGTGCCATCATCAATGACTTTTCTTAAGAAAGCTCTGGCAGATCAGGGTCTCTTTCGTATCTGATTACACTGTATCTTGGGAGAAGCAGCTCCTATAGCAGCCTACAACCCCAGAAGTGTCACGTAGAATGAGCGAGTTCTACTTCATTCTACTTCCAAACCCGTGAACCATCAAGAAACAGTAGAAAGGCAAACTTCCGCTGACCCCAATAACTAGCGAAGCCTGATTGGGAGCCATGGTTCGGGCCTCTGAACAGATTCACGATCTTGGTGAGAATGGAGCCATCGAAGGAAAGCTCAAAGTCTATGTTCGCGGAGCACGCGGATGCATCCACGGACCACGGAACGTTCCTCAGGTGCAACCGCAACGAATGTGTGGCCCATGTAACTGCATTAGACATGTAATATAGAATTAGTAAACGCTGTAACTGCCCTGGACCTTCATGAAAGTATGGCGTCCTTAAACGGGGTGCCCAATTTCGTGAGGAACTATGACAACAGTTTGGACAGTCTCGGGGAGAGCGTCTCATTTGGAACCAAAAGTTGAACACTGACAGCCCCACATAAAGAGGATGAGGGGTCTTTCCTGTACTGGAGAGCCACCGATACAGGTAGTATGTCGCGAGCTTCTCAGTTCGAGGTGCCTCCACATAAGACTGAATCACTATGAATGCAGAACACTAACTCCTACATACTCGACAAACTCCCAAGCTTCTTGTCGAAGCTGCCTCCCTCAAGAACCACGGTTGCTGTGGATGATGGGCTGCTCTTCACGACCGCCTTCGGGACTTGTCTGCGTGTTGCTAGCTCGTGAACTGGGGGAGGGAGTGTCAAGGGCTTATAGCGTCTAAACTCGCTTCATGAACGGGGGCTCTTGGCTGAAGCTCTCAGAACTCTTGCATAGAACCGGCTAGGAGTACAACCTTCAAAGCAGGGGTACGCAAGTAAAGAAATCCCAACTACCCTGAGTAGGCTGCAGCAAAATACTACAAGTCTTATAGTCGGCGTTGCTGCAACATTGCTAGCTGGCTTAGGGCTTAGGAATGATTTCCTGCAAGTGAGTGCGCATGCACATGGGTGGTTGTCAAAATTATGGTCCCTTTTTGGGTACCCTAAATATTAGGTGCCGTACTATAATAGGGACCCAAAAAGGGACCATAATTTCGACATCCACTCACATGCGAAATAATAGGCTCCATGGCATCCAGCAGTTTTCAAGGCATTCTATTCTTTGCAAGTGCCATATGCCCGTATGGATAGGGGCGTTGCTGTTGCTGGTGCAGTTGTGGTTGTGTTGGTTGCCGGTGCCAGTGCCGGTGCTAGGTGTGGGTGTGAGTGCGGGGTTGTGGTTGTGGTTGTTGTTGTTGTTGCTGCTGCTGTTGTTGTTGTTGCTGTTGTTGCTGCTGCTGCTGCTGTTGTTGTTGTTGGTGGTGTTGGTGTTGTGGTTGTTGTAGTTGTTGTAGTTGTTGTTGTTGTTGTGGTTGTTGTGGTTGTTGTGGTTGTGGTTGTGGTTGTGGTTGTGGTTGTGGTTGTGGTTGTTGTTGTTGTTGTTGTTGTTGTTGTTCTTCTTATTGTTATTGTTATTGTTCTTGTTGTTTGTTTGTTTGTT